GGATTGTTCCCGTAGCTTTCTTTTTTGGAATTGGGACCTGGTTTTCCAGGTTGTCTTCTTTTCTTTTAGGTGCCTGTTTTTCCAGGGTCACCTCTGATTTCTTGCCCTCAAGTTGTTCGAATTTCTTATCCATATGTTCAATTATGGACTTTTTGGAGTTTATTATAATGTCTTGTAGTTCCTCGATTTTCTTTTTGAGGGCTAAGATTTCCTTCTCCTTTTCTTGAAGGAGCATCTTCGCTTTTTGCAGTTCAGACTTTTCGTCCTCGCTGCTTTTTAGAGGTCTGGTTCTTTTACCAGCTTTTGTCGCCTGTTTTTGCGTTTCTTCGTCCGTAGTGTCGTCTATGCGGCTTCCCTCCGCACAGGCTTTCGTACGCCTCTTCTTGTTCTTGGGGCGCTTGAAATCTTCTTCGTTTACGGCGTTTTCTTCCAGTCGTCGTCTACTGGGAGATCTTTGAATATCTCATAATTCGTGGTCGAATCGTCGGTGGCATCAAGGGATAACGCGTCATAGATGTTGCCGTGGAGTTTCCTCTCACGACAACCATTAGGGGCAGATGGGTTCGCCTTACGAATCGGCGGGGACCTAGAACGGTCCATGTTGGTGGGCGGGGCCTAATCAAAAAATTTGGAAGAAGGCTTTTTTTGTTGTCCGTCTGGCCCGCTGCCAGCACGGATTCTGGGTGCCACCCAGTGACCTGTCCGCGGTTGTTCACACTTTAGGACAGAACTAAAGCGGTATCCACTTGAATTTCTCAATTCTCTGACCCTGGGGCCGTGTCTGCCAGATATAGAGTTCAAAACAACTATATCTCACAGTGTCATCCCAACGGAGGCACAGAGAATATCCCGACGGGCGAAGCCCGTTTGCTTCTTCACTACCTTACGCCGCAATTTTGGCCTCCGTGAAGATTTGATTTAAAAAACAAATCTCCCCGGCTAACCTAGTCGCAACGCAAGGTTTTGCCTCTCTTTTTCAGGCCTAGGCGCTTTAACGCCAAGTCACCGCTATCGTGCTTACATTCACGATATGAACTAAAAAGTTCAGCTCGGACTTGGTCGTCTCTACGCTTCGGCGGTGTCGCTCCTCTCACTGCTTGGCACGTCAGCTCCGTTCGACTGCTCGAGTCGAACTACTAACTAGCTCTCTCTGAGGTGGAAGTTGATAGAGCATTGTTATTTATTTCGGATTTTCACCCAAATGTAATGCCCGAAATACTGTCATTTCGTGCCTTAGCACCGCCATTTAATAAACAATATTTGTTTGCAAAAAATACAGTAGACAATTTAAGTTCTTTAACATGGTGGCTATCTCAAAAACAGTTTATTTCATCGGAGTTGTTGCAGCTGACAACTCAATTATTTTCAGCAGTTGCATCCAGTGCTGGAGTGGAGAGGCTATTTTCTTCATATGGTCTAGTTCACTCGAAATTGAGGAATAGGTTAAGGAAGTGACAAAGCTGCTAAGCTAGTAACAATATTTCAACATTTATATAAAAATGTTTAAGGTTACATTATTAACTGTAAAAAGCTCTATATTTATAGTTTTTATTTTTTTTAAGGAACATTCATTGTTATTTTTATTTTTTGTATCACATATCAGTTGCAGGATGTAGGACTGTGTAATAGATGCTGTTGTAATTCAATAATTATTTACTTAATTTCTTAATTTTCTTTTTCTTTAACTTTATTAGGAGTATTGGTTTAGTTAATGTTACTACAGCACTGTCGTAACAGTACTAGTATGCTTGCTACCTGAACATAAATAAAGTTTAGTCAGTTACTTTTTTTGAGTTTTTACTTTTTACTTAGCATTAATATTGTTATTGCACCTACTTACTCTATAATCTATGTTTGCAATTTTGCAATTAGCAAACACAAATGTCTTATAACAAATGTTAATAAACAAAATAATAATAAACAATAACGAAAAAAAACTATGTTTTAAAACAATGTTTTTAAATGTATATTTAATCGATAGTATAGGTTTTTGAGAATGTAAAAACAGAAATCGACTGCTTGTTGTAAAATATACAGTACAATGCAATTATTAGCCTATACCAAGAGATATATAGGGAAGCCAATATTAAAAAAAGTTTTTAAAGTATTTTGTGATTCCCTTGTTAAATAAAAAATGTGTGGTATGTACAATCTTTTTACTATTCATTGTAAAAGTATTTAACACTAACATAAACCCAAGACCGGATGGAATTTATATAAATACCTTTCTTGCAGATAAGATTAGTTTTATTTAATGTGGTTTTAATCAGTAGGTATTATGTTTGCCAATCATACTTTTCGTGGACTCTGAATGTCATATAACGAATTGCGGATTAACCATGTAGGTTTTAATCTATGTATAATTATTGTGATTTCATTCTAAGTTAATATTGCTGATATAACTGCGTTTATGCCGTCGTTTTTCAAAAGCCACGCATAGTGGAAGACTAGGAAACTGATTATTATGAATTTTATGTGGATGAATTTAATCATTATATGTTTATAATTCGCTACACTTTATTACTATATTTCTCTTGTTATTTACTTTCACATCCGTCTGAAGCATGTTCAAAGTATCTCACAATTTCCCCCAAATATTTTCTCCCAGAATTTGTTTTGGTACGCCTATGGCCAACAAACTCAAGTGACACGTCACGCACCGATTTAATTTAATTTTAATTACTAAAAGTGGCTTTGCATTGTATTCTTAAGACCATTATCTTTCAAGAATTTATTTAAATAATTCTTTGCCTTTTATCAATTTAAAAAACACACATTTCCTAAACTCCTTTCACGTTACTAACTTTCTATGAATGTCGAGTTTCTAAATAAAAAGTCTCGTTGACTCGAAATGGAACCCCTGTACGTTTAGACCTATTCTCGCATATATCGGAAACCCCTTCTTAACCGAAAATCTAAACCCTAATGAGAATATATCAAAGTTCTCGAATGAGTTAGTTGTACTTGGCGGGTAAGTCATTTACTCAATATCATTTATATTGTAACTGTCCAGTTAATTTCGATTATGTATTATTAATTATGTACTTTGATGTAAATAATAATTATATTTGCCTTGTTGTATTTCCGTTTGTTTCTGCTATCCCAAAGTCATTACATGTCGCCCAACGAGCACCGTAGGGTACCTTTTAATTACTACAATTGTGTACTGTCCAATGTGGGCCTATTTGCAGTACTGAGACATTATCTACCTCCAGCCACCACGCGCCTTCTATATTTGTAAGTACACTCATGATACTATAATAACAAGATAGGATCTTCCCGTAGCACAAAATAGGTCGTGTTCGCGCATGCCGTCATTGGAGAGTAGAATTTGAATTCTTGTTAAAGTTAAATGGGATTTGTATGCATTCTGTGATGAAATTACTAGACGAAAATAAGTTAGGAGGTTTAGTAATTACAATAATCGTACACATAAGAATTTCTCCAAACTATTTATTAAAGATTATTTATTGATACATACAAAAAACTGACATTTCGAACGTCAAACTCTCCAATGACGTCACGACTTATGCGCAATATCTTATCTTCTAGTCCTAGTATCATGAGTACACTTACCTGTTAATCTCGGTCAACGCTCAGTCACAGAATAATAAACAATCAGAAGGGCCACTCTCAGATGCCGCCTTTGAAGTTTTTCAGCACGCGCGCCCATGTTTTAGGAGGACACAAAACATATGATTTGTGAGGTTATGCAATTGTTTACATTTATGTTTAATTATATTATATTTATGTATATTATATTTAAAACTGTTAATATAATTGTATAGTATGTCTATGATTGCCGTAAGTCAAATAAACCTGTTTTGTTTTCCATGCACACCACATAAACAACACTGGTTCCCTTTAAAAATCCTCGTAAAACATGGCGGAACGTCTGCGCGAAGGAGATGCGCGTACTTAATTTTCCGTGGAGAGTGGGGCATTCTGTTTGTTTATTATTCTGTGGCTCAGTCAAGTGTTTTATGATCAAAATACTAGAGTTTATAAAGATACAAATAATGCTGTTCTTAGTGTGCGTTGATAACGTTCATAAACTAAATGAAAAATAACTAACAAAAACAGACATTAAATGAGAAGTAAAAAAATAAAAGGAGATCTATCAATTAAAGATTCGATTCGTAACAATTGTTAAAATTAAAAAGTCATAAATGCCATCCAATTCATAACAATATTGAATCCTGTGTTTAAATTTTAATGACAGTTCTCGTTTTAAAATAATCTCATATAAATATAATTATTATTTTTAAACATCTTATTTAGTTTATGTAATAATAAAGTTACTATCAAAGTACTATCAAATGATATTTTATTATCAATTTAGTATCTCGTCTGAATTTGACAGGTCTGTAAGAAATAAATAACGTGTGCTTTTTTAATACGTTAGCAGGTGGCGTTAGAAGCCAACATAAAAATGTATTGAAATATTGTTAGAGTACATTTAGTACATTGAGTATGCTATTTTAATTTTATAAACTAAACTACATTTCTTTCTCTGCAACTTGTTGGACTTCATGGGTTTTAGGTTAAAATTAAGATTTTTCGTTGCTATACAAATAAAAATTCTTTAATACCGATAAGTTTTCAATTTCCTTATGGCATTAAAAAGTGTGTGAAAAGTGCCTTAAAACTTACCATTTTAACCCTAACTTTTAAACATTTTCCCCCCGCACCCCCACAAAAAAAGTTAATGGTTCCCCTAAAATCAGTCCTGGTCCGCCTTTGACCCAGGAACCGACCCAGTACACACAACGTATGATTATAATAAATAACGAAAAAATTAATCGTCTAGAGATTATAGAGAATATAGTTATAGTGCGAAAAGAATAAAGATCTTATGGCTTCGAAATACAAAGAAGTTATTTTACTATCCCAATCTAAATAATTTTTGTTTAAATTAATCTATTACAATAACTTTTAAAAACCTTTAGATAAGAACAATAAAACTGAGCGCAGCGATTTCTAAATGTAGTGCTACCCACCTTATTACCTGCATAAGCATATTTGAAATGTCTCTCTGTTCCTAATGTGACTATTGTATTAGTAAATAGACCTTGACCTAGGGCTAATTTGATAGAGACATCTGGAAACGTTACAGCTATTGCCTGATTGCACGCCAGTTGTATTCGAGTCTGCAAAAGAAAAAAGACAAAAGTAAATTTTAAAAGAATAATGAAAACTTAATACAGTTAATTTAAATTACTGGATGACAAACGCTCGGTGAGTACACATATGCTCCGAATACCGTCTCGAAACCCCGTCGCGTACAGCGACGCGATCACACAAAGTTCGCGACGTTGTTACAGGGGGCATTGAAATAAGTAACGAACCGAACACCGCTCCGTACTTTGTACCAAACCATTTTAGCGTTCCAGCAGTAATTGAGTTGAATTCGCATGTGCAAGATGGATGTTGCTGCAGCGTCTACATTCTTATGCATTATTTAGTTAATAAAACGAAAAATATTCGTGAAAGGAGATGGTCCATTCCATTTTGATGCACTCAACTTTAAAAAATACCGTCAACCTTCAAAATAATATACTGACTATTTTGAATGCCTGGAGATTCGATAAAAGATTCGCAAGCTAGTCCAAACATGAATTCGTGGTGTACATTGCCGCGCTCAAATTTCTTTTGATCCGTAGGTATTTTACCGACAAACCGATGGATCGCTTCGATTGTACGTTGTTGACGCGTCGAGGTACGGTACGAGGTTGCATGACTCCGTCCACACTTAGAACGCGACGGGGTTCGAAAACGGCATTCGGAGCATATGTGTACCCACCTTTTAGAATAGTTTATATAGAATATATTATCTAAGTGTCATTATATGACATTTTTGGGCTAGTATAGAAACAAATTGTAAAATCTCGATTTTGGAAAAATTACCTAAATTTATCACAAAAGTAATAATAAATTTCTAAAGAGCTGTTTTTTGATACCCAGTAGATCCAAAACTAATTTAGGGGATTTTGGTAAAGGATTCCCTCGCCGATCCATAATTAAATATTATTAACGGAATATAAAAACTTATACTCTTATGAAGACGATGCCCACTGTTTCAAATTTAAACAAACAGAACTTAGGTAGAGGTAGGTATAGGCGCTAATAATACAACTTTCCAATCCGAGACAACTTCTTGTACACATTAAGCTTTGCAGATGACCAAGTGGTAACGGCTCAAGATGAAGAAGATCTGTGTTATATGCTCCGAAAATTAGAAAAGGAGTACACAAAAAATGGACTGGAAATAAACCTAGAAAAGACCGAATATTTAACAACAGAGCAAAAACCAGTGAGAAACTTGGAAATGGACGATGATAGGGAAATTAACGGCAATGAAAAATTCAAATATTTAGGATTTATACTCTCAAAAAATGGAACCACCGAGCAAAAGATAACCAGCCGATTAGCACATACAAGAGCTGTATTAAACAAAATGAACGGGTACTGTGGGATAGACAGATGACCAGAAATACAAAGAAGAGAAATTTATAACACCTTGGTACGCAGTATAATGACCTATGGAGCAGAGAATTGGGTAATAAATAAACGAAACAGGTCCAAAATCACAAGCAACTGAAATGGAGTTCATGAGAAGAAGCTGCAGAGTGACAAAAATAGATCGCATCAGAAATGAGGAGATAAAACGAAGAATGGCAGTAGAACAAGACATACACAACTATATCGAAGAAAAACGTTTAATTTGGTATGGACATGTGAGAAGAACAGATCATACAAGGTAGATAGCAAAGATTTCGGATTGGAGCCCAATAGAAAGGAAGAAAAGAGGTAGACCCCGAATATCACGGAGGGATGAAGTGGACGAGGCCATGGAAAGACGACACCTTAGAGATGGAGGAATTGACAGAACCGAAAGGACTGGAGACGTTGGCTGAAAGAAGGAAGGCGGGCGACAGCTTTAAAAATCTATGTAGAGTCATACGCCGCCATGTTACCTATCCAACGGTAACTTAACCATCACAAATTAGAAATACTAATAATGTAAAAACAATTTCAAATTTATAACATTTAAAGGGTTTTTACCCATATATTTTGGTGGCTACTAGCATGTACAAACCGTTTGCACTGATGATGGATTGTTTAATCCGAAAACGTTTTGCAATGTGTTTGTGATAACCCGTTTGAGGCATTTTTATATACCTTTATAAAGGATTTTTAACAAAATTTTTTTGTGATATATGGTATACAGCCAGCTACAGGAACTTAGTTTCCTCGTGGAACTTTAAAAATCCTTATTATAGATTACATAGATAAAATGTACATTTATTTATATATCAAGTTAATGTTAATATTCTGTTTCAAATTCAGTTAAAAACAAGTAAAAAATTGGTTGATTCGGGTCTAGATTATACAAATAGATCAAAGATCTCACAACCAGTATCAAATATTTGCATATGAACTGCACAAAATATAATTATCAGCGCCTCTATTGATCGTGTTACAAACCGTGTTTATTTACATTCTGACACCGTTTGAATCTAGCGACACTTTTTAGCATCGCTAGCGATACTGAGAAAACACCAGAAGAATGAATACAATATATCTTTATTCCCTTACCAAAACAAGCTAACGCCAGAAGATGCACAGATTTCATCCAGTCTTACGAGTATTAAGTACATACTTAAAGTCTACTAAAAATAGTTCAACATATTATACAAAAAATGTGAAGAAGAAGTGGGATACGACCAATGTGGATTCAGACCCGAAATGAGGACAAAAGAGCTTTATTTTCTCCAAAAAATACTATTGCAGAAGGTCAACAAAAGGATAATTTCGGATGCTTTGTCGAATTCAAAAAGGCATTTGATCGCGTAGATGATAATAAAACTGCAAGGTCTTTACAAAACATTAACTTTATGATAAAGACCTCTGATCAATATTGCAGTGCCAAAGTGCCAAGAACACGGTTGACTATCAAATATTTGATCCTTTCCTTGTATTTACTCCGAACTGCTATTCAAGAAAGCCGTGGAAAACCTGTCTTCAGAAATACAATTTAATGGAGAACAAATTTCTAATATAAGATATGCAGATGGAACTGTTTCTTCAAACTGATACAGATACGAACTTACAGAAAGCTTTTAACCGACGGGAGTTTAGCACTCCACTCATCCATTTTCAACAAATATTTCTGTTACACGACACTATTTCTATCTATTTCCTCTTTTCCCTTATATCGGAATTACTTTGTAATACCGCTCCTATGTACTTAAAACTATTATTTTTCACAATGATTTCATCATCATTCAATCTATTCAAAGTTATCTTATATGTAGTAGTAATTCCACCTCTAAATGAATATTCCAGATACTGTGTTCTTGTCCCACCGAGTTTTAAACTTTTTTCTTCAAGAGATTGTCTACACTGTTCCAGTTTTTGTTCCAAATATCTTTCAGTCTTTCTTATTAAAAATATATCATCAGCATACATCAAGCACTAAGTAACTAAGTTACCTTGTTGTTATGTAGCCCATTACTAGCGATAATAAATAATAATATACTAATAAACCTACACCGAAACACTGAAGTTCTACTCATTTATATCGTGGAAGCCCATACATTAGAATATTTGCATATGCTGATTTACTGTGCAGTAACAGCAATTGCTAATGTTATGGGTATTAAGATCAGAACACGACGGGGTATTAGTATGGGAAGGACTAAAAACAGAATTGCACCCTGGTAAAAATGACTGCTGAAAAAAAATTGAATTATTGCGTAGGGATATTGGACAAATTACGGAATACATCCCAATGGTAAGAAGTAGAAAAGTAATTAGAAGAGTTAAAGAACTCATTCTGTCCACTCTAAGACACTGAAAACATGATCCAGAAAACAACGTTCCTCAACACAGCCTGGACACATTAAAACAAAAACTCTCTCGCTTTTGAGCATGCAGAGAGGGCTTTCTATAGGAAACTGATTTCCACTGTAGAAAATGAAAATAAATCCTACCCGAGCCTAGCAGAAATTCATGAGTTTTGGAGACACCAACTTTCGATGCCAGCTACACATAACAAGAATGCTGGATGGATTGAAGAAACGATGAACAACTGTAAACATTACCGTAATATTCTTTATGAACCTTTCACCACTGAAGAAGTCTCGAACATTATCAAAGAGCTTCATAACTGGAAATATCCTTAACCAGAGGGAGTCCAAAACTTCTGGCTAAAGTCTCTTAAGTCTCTAAAGTTTCTTACTCAGGGAACCACTTATCTAATACCGAAGGGTCAAAATAACACTCAAGATCCAGCCCAAATACCGCTCAATTACATGTCTTCCGACTTTGTACAAATTGGTTACATCCTGTGTAGCTCAGCGTATCTACTAACACTGTTCTCTAAACAATATAATAGAGCCTCAATAGAACGGATGCGCTAAGGGCTGCAAAGAACAAAACTTATAATCGACTATCATTTCTAACCAGGCGTATACAAAAAAAGGAACCTTTTTACTGCCTCCATTGACTACAAGAAGGTCTTTGATTTAGTACTGCATGAATGGCTTATAGATATATTGAAAATATATAAAGTCGAGGATAATATAGTGACCTTTTTAAAGCATATAATGACGGAGTGGAAGACTAAAATTCACCTTTAAATACCCGGTGAAGATATCCCAAATAACCGAAGCCTTTTCCAGGGGGATTCTTTGAGTCCACTTTGGTTGTGTCTAGCGATGAACCAACTAGCTATCTCAGCTACTAAACTCCACTGATTCAGGTTTTAGCATCAAAAATAGCAATACTGTTGTGGCGAAGCTTAATCATCTGTTGTATATGGATGATTTGAAATTAATTGCTTCCACTCGAAATCACTTCGACCAGATGCTAAAAACTCTTTAAGCATTCTCAAATGATATCAGTATGTACTTTGTGCTTTCCGTACTTTACAGTGAGGAAAGGTTCAGACCATACGTTTTGATATGCCAGATGGCCAAAACTTAGAGACAATGGGTGAAAAGGATATGTATAATAATATCTCGGAATAAAGCAAGCGCGAAAAATTTACCATAAACAAATGAAAACCGAACTATCTTCTGAGTTTATGCAAAGAGTAAGAAAGCTAAATCGGTCATACCTTAATAGTAAAAATCTGTTTAAGGCATTAAATAGGTACGCCTGTTCTGCGCTTAGCTATTCATTTGGTATTATAAAGTGGTCAAAAACGAATATAGAAAGTCTTTAGCGGAAAGTGAGAAAACTTCTCAAAAGGCGAAAGAACACAATCCATGCAGTACAGTAGATAGAAAATTACCGCGATATCACGGTGGAAGAGGACATAGATCAGCAACTGAAAAAACAAGAAATTTAAGGACCTATTTTCGAGGCGCAGCTGTGTTAATAAACATCTCTATAAGATCATGCAGAAAGCTGTACTCCTCGCGACGTCCAGATGTGTACGAAAATTTTTGCGAGATACTACAGCATACCAAGTCACCTAGGGTTCGATAACACGGAAACGGTCCCAACAGAGCTTAATCCTTTTAATACCGTAGGTATCTGGGATGAGTGCATTTTCCTCTTAAAGGGAGTGTGAGCCGTATGGCTAAATCTGGATAAACAATAAAGTGATCTAAAGGAAAACAATTCAGAATTCATAAGTGTTACATCAAGCCATTGAGTTAATTTTAATGATTTTTTGTATTTCTTTAGTAACATACGATGTGAGTCTTTGTTAAATAAAATTAAATAGAACTGTTACTATATGGCATTATTTCCATAAAAATATTGTAAGATTAGAATTTTACAGATAAAAAACTGGACATAGTTATCTTAACAAAATTATCTCGTACTTACTTACCCTTTTTTTATATGGTACTTTATTTATATCTGGGTTTACAAAATTATAATCTATATATTTCTTCAGCTGCAATGCTGCCATCCTCTGCTTTTGGTCTGTACTTATTTCAACCTGAGGTCTTTGAAATAGTGGATCTGATTCTAGCGTCTTCCATACTTGAATCTGAAATAAATCATGTTTTATGTACAAGGTTGAAACTCCAATAATTTCACATACAACACATACATCTTGCAACGCCGCAAAATATTATATGTAGAATATTGTCAGTAAATATTCGAACAATGTAAAAAAATTGGTAGACGTACTATCACAGCTGACTCAATTCAGTGGAGATCGTTGTTTTTATGAAACCATCCCCGCAACTGCCGACGACGAAACATTCCGCTACCGATTTTCTTACCTTTCTGCTTTCGGTTCGGCTCGTTTCAGCAGACAGTCCTACGAAATGTAAAAAATACCGAGAAAAAAGATGTCCCTTTAAACAAAAATCGACGGTTTCGTTTTTTCAGGACGGTGTATTGTTAAAACAGTTCCAGGTAACAACTGTTTGTTTTGTTTGGCAACCCCGTATATTAAATGCTGCGTAAATTTTAGACACTTGCAAATATCATCTATGGAGAAAGACAAAAAAATGATGTAAAATTTAATTTCAGAAAAAAAAAACATTAATTGTTATTTATTTAATTATGCATGATCTTTTGGTGTTTTTGCTTCTTTTCCTTTGCATTATCGTTTGTCCAGGTATTTTGCATCGTTGTCGGTCATATTAGTATTTCGTATATCCTAGTTTCTGATTATTTTTATATTTTGCGATATGATAATCTTTATACATGTTTGTATATCATATGTATTTGAATATTTCGAGAAATATACATACATGAAATCCTAAATCATGCTAAATGATTTTGTCGCACGATTAATTACCATTAGTACCGTAGTAGTAGTAATACCGTATTATTAAAAAAAGTTATGGATATATATAAAAAAGGAAAAGTTTTTTTAATGTAATTATTATTACAACCAATTGTGACTTAATCCCATAAAACTATGCCGTTATTAAAAGAGGATTGGCAAGATTTGCAAGATTTTTATAAAATGAAAAGAATGGGGGGTTTAGTATTTTTTATTCTACAAAAATACATAGTTTTTGTTAACAAAGTATCTGGAAGCTAATAGCAGTAAAATAATTTGCAAATTTCACAAATAATGTGACTTCAGTTGTACTAATTCCTCTTCTAAGAGCTTCTTATAAAGCACGCTTGTGGGGCATGTGTACATAATCAGGAATTTATGTTTAAATTTCTTTTTTTAGTGTGTGTAATGAAATGGATATAGTGTTCTTTAGAAAATACCTCACAGTCCTTAATTTTTAGTTTAATTGAACCAAAATCTCAATCACATCCATTATCGAACGCCTTGATAAAAAACGTTCTTAATAAGATCAAATCGATTTGTGTGAATGTGGCGGTTTAAGTTCTTATTTTGCCCATCACAGTTATCACTAAAAATAAAAATTATAACTTTTCTCACATACTTATTAACAAAGTTCTCGAAGTAGTGACTAAGAAAACGGGCTATTTCGCACGATCCGCGTTTAGCGATGGTTTCATCCCATACATACATTATGGCTGCTCCTGTTTTAACGTTGTGGATTCCTAAGTTGTAAGTCCACATTTTTCTTTTGTAGTATTGTACGTTGCAGGTAAGTTTAGGCGTGGGTAATGCTTGTTGTAAACCAATACATACAACCTCAGTATTTTCATCCTGGTTGCTTTCGTAGCTTTTCATTATATTCTGAGCAGCTTTTTACTTTGTTAAATGAACCTTCAGTTCAGTATTCAATTCAGTTATTCTGAGAGAATTCGGGTTGTTAGTCTTTAACGCATCAAGTTCAACTTTAATCTTAGAACAGGTATTACAATCATCAACAGAAGGAGGCTGAACACCTATATTGAATTCGTTGACAGATATTTCCATAGTAGGACTCTATCACAGACTATTCTTAAGGATGTGTGTTTCTTAGCCATTCCATGCAAGCTCCATATACTCCAGTAATTGACGAACCCGATGGCATATATTTTCGAAAAGGACTTTTGGCTCTGTTATAGTGACTGGAAACGGTAACAAGCGAATCAATGTAATCTCTGACCAACTACTTTTTATATCCAACCATTTTATTTCTTTGACTTAGCTTCCCTCTGTAATCACCCAGCGCAGTTTCTGTGGTGGTCTGCTTGTCTAAAACAACGCGAATTCTTTTTTAGCTTATGCTATGGATGCTAATAAAAGCCGGTCAATAAACACATTTTCTTTCTCCATTTACTGAAACGAAAAAACGATACTATATTCTATGGTTCGAAGCTTCCTACTAGCTCTGTCAGTAATTAAAGACTTTTTACAACCATTCCAACTAACCACTTTTGAAAGGTATTGGTTTTGATTATTGTAGTTGCCGGTTTGCCAAAAGTTATTGAAAATTATATTGATATTGTTCATGCTCAACTTTTCAAAATACATTTTACGACACTTAGGTACATGGCAGTCCGATGAACTGAAGCTCCCAAACTAAGCAACGTAGTCTTCGTTAATTCTTGGTTATCGATCAGCTTTTTATTCACCTACTTTCGTTAGCTTTTTCTTTATACCATGACATTAAAAGAAGGGAAGGAATTCACCACAGAAGCTGTAGTAGATAAATTTATTACATGAATTTATCACACCCACAAAGTATTGAAGAGTAAAGAAGTTAGTTTTGGATAATGTTATTTAAAACAGTTTTATATTTTTTTATTTGTATTTAAGGAGTTTAAATACTCTCCCTGTTGGAAGTTATTCTTACTCATTCAAATATTACGAATAATATATCAAAATAATAAAAAAAAAATATGTAGATTTAAAAAATGAAGCCTCGCCAACTTTCATAGCAGTGCCCTTTCTTATCAGTACTCAATCATCAACCACGGTTACAATAATTTAAACCAGTTTACATATTGTATATCGTTACTTACTTGCACTTTTAACATTTCTGCATCTTCAAAAAATAACTTCAATTTTCTCCAGTCGAATTTAGATAGTTTTCTATAAGGGGTAAGTGGTCCTACGGGCAATTCTCTGAATACCAATTTGTTATCTTCGACATCCATTGCTTATAAAGTTTTCTGAAAAAAAAAGCAAAGAATTAAAATACTGGTTCTGAAACCATTTTATTGTGAAATTTTCCGAAGAGGACATCGAGACGTCAAAATAAACATATTTCCAATTAAAATTGTTGATATTTCTCATTAAAAATAGTAGATAACATTCAAATTATGTATGAAAATTGTAATATCAGCGTTTAGTAAATAAAAAACGTGTGCAACATGTTTAACGTTTTAATGCGTCCTACAACCCGTGTCATCAATATATCGTATTGGTAACCAAATTGATCCAGTATATGATGTATACTTTTGTGACTTATAAGATAAATATGTAGTAGAGCTAGATAGAATTTCCCTAGGTACATTGGTTGACCCCTATAATAACATAGAGGAAATACAAAGGCGGATCATAATTGCAAATAGGCATTATCATAGTTTATCAAAGTACATAGCTAACACACGTTTATCTTAAAAAACTCTTTATAAAAGTATAAGATTGTATAGAACACTGAAAATCCCCTTTAATGTATATGGATTTGAGGCATGGACCCTAACCAAAACCTCACATTTTACATATTTTTAATAAAGTTGAAAACAACAATGAAGAAGCAGCAACAGAAGCTCTAGGAAAACGCAAAGTCATACTGAACAAATGAAACAACAATACACCATGGTTCAGAAAAGAAATAAAAGAGAAATGTAAAGATAAACGAGAGGCCTCCACGAAGTACAAAACATCAAAAACCCCAGGACCACGAGACAACTATAGAAGAATACGAAATGAACAAAGCAGTTGGTAAGAACAAAAAATGAACACTGGAATAGTTTACAAAAAGATGGAAAGCGACTTTTATGGTACACAAAAACAAATATGGAAACCAACCGAAAGAAAATTGCAGAAATGAAGGAATACAATAACATACCAGCAAACGAATGGGAAAGATACCTGATGGAACTGTCTAAAGCAAAGGAAAATAATAATCAACACAATAACGTACCTGAATTAAGACACGAAATAGAAATCGATATAATAAAGATACAGGAAGTAGATATAATAAATTCACTCAAAAATAGAAAGTCACCAGGACTACACGGAATAACCAACGAGCTTCTAAAACACGGAGGAGAAAGTATAACCCTAGAGATGACAAAACTTAACAAAACAAAAACTAATATTCCACTGTAAGATACCAGATGCATGGAGAAACAGCATAATGATAACAATGTTCAAGAAATGAGATAGAGAAGACTTCAACAATTATAGAGGTATAAATCTACTGAACACCGCACTTAAGCTTACCACAAAACTCCTAACCAACAAAATCAATAAACTAACAATTTTATCAGATGAACAACAAGGATTCAGATCCGAAAGATCCTGCGTAGACACCGTATTTGTACTAAGCCAAATCACAGAAAAGGCCATCGAGTACAATAAACCAGCATATCTATGTTTTATAGACCTGACAAAGGCTTTCGATCGCATTCAAGTCGAAGACGTCTTACACCTACTATATAAAAGAAACATACCAATCAATATTATACAAACCATCGAAAACATCTACTTCCATGATCGAATACAGGCCAAGATAAATGTAAAACCAACACAGTGTATACCAGTACAAAGCGGAGTCAGACAGGATGACTTGTTAAGCCCACTTCTCTTTAATATAATAATGGACGAAACAATACAAACAATACGTAAAGGTCATGGCTAAACAATGGGGAACAAAGAAATCCAAATATTATGTTATGTAGACAACGCCGCATTAATGTATGACAACATCTAAATAAACACTACGGTGTAAAATCGAAATTGATGGGAAAATAATAAAGCAGGAAGCAAGGTTTAGATATCTGAGAATAGATATAACTAGTTATGTATCTGGGAATAGATATAACAAAGGTTAAAAGCAAGTAACGCGGTGGGATCTCTTAACGAAATAATCCGGAAGAACAAACACCTAAGACAAGACACAAAAACAAGAATTTATAAAGCAGCTCTCTCTTCAATCCTGACCCCCAGGGGGAGTGTAGTGGTCGACGTGATGTCGTGTATTGTCCGTCTCCAGAGATCTCTGTCTCTGGTCATTTATTTTAATTCATGCATAGGTCTTTGGCACATTCCTGTAATTTGATCTATCCATCTTGTTGGGGATCTTCCTCGTGATCTTCGGCCTTCTACCTTTCCTTGTATTATGAGTCTTTCCATGTTTTCTGTTTTTGCTCTCATAACATGCCCAAAATATTTTAATTGATGGACTTTACTAGAGAGTCGTCGGCTAACTTTTAGCTCTCTTAAAATTGAATTATTTGTTCTACGGTCGGTCCAAGGAATTCGTAACATTCGTCTCCAACAGAACATTTTAGTGGCGTCTATCTTTCTTCTCTCCGATTGTCTCAGAGTCCAAGATTCACATCCGTAGGTCAGTATTGGGAATATTAAGCAGTTGATCAACCTCATCTTTATCGCTCTTGAAATTTGACAGTCCTTTCATATTTTGGTCATTTTTGCTGTGGAAACTTTTGCTAGATCACATCTGCGTTTATGCTCTTCTTGTAATGACCCTGTGTTCCAGGATTCCAGATATAAGTATGAGCTCAAAACCTCGAACCGGTCAAGTGTGGTTATGTGTGGATGATTGTTGTGTAGTCTATCCACTATCATGATCTTTGTCTTTGATATGTTTAATCGCAGACCAAATATTTGACTTTCATTTTCGATCAGTCGTATAAGTTCTATCGGCTCTGCTTGACTATTTGCAAGAAGGGCTGTGTCATCTGTGAAACGTAGGTTATTTAGTTTATGACCATTTATTGAGATGCCCTTTTCCCATCCTTCAAGTGCTCTTCGCATAATATACTCCCCATATATGTTGAATAATTGTGGAGATTGTATACATCCTTGTCTGACACCCCGTTCTGGATGAAATTCGTTCGAAAGTGTGTCAAGTACTTTAACTGATCCAGTAGTGTGTTCATATAGTTCGGTTATAAGCGTAATTAGATGTTGTGGTACGCCTACTTCTTTTAGTATTCGCCATAAGTGTCTCCACTTGACCCTGTCGAACGCTTTATGGTAATCTATAAAACAGATGTATAGTGGGATGTTGAATTCCCTAGATTTCTCGATTATCTGTCTTATATTCAGCAGGTGTTCTCGAGTGCCTCTACCTTTGGTAAATCCAGTTTGCTCTTGTGGAATTTCTCTTTGAAGGAATGTTTTCAGTCTCTCATTGATTATATGTAGCATTATCTTGCTGGCATGGGATATAAGAGAGATAGTTCTATAATTGTCGCATTTATGGAAGCTGCCTTTTTTATGTATGGTCGTTATTGTAAATTTTGTCCAGTCTTCAGGCCATTGTTTGGAATGCCATATTTGGTTACAGAGTAGATGAAGTAACTTTACGCCGGTTTCTTCTGTGGCTTTAAGCATTTCTGCTGTTATCATATCTGGACCTGGTGCTTTGTTATATTTGAGCTTGTTGATAGCCTGTCTTACTTCATTTTCGAGTATATCAGGTTCTTCTTCCACCTCGTCAGAGATTTGGCTAACAAGCTCTTGGCGTTGATCATCTTTATATAGGTCCCTGCAATACGATCTCCATGTCTCTGCTATGTCTTCTCTGTTTGTTTTCAGGGTTCCAGTGTTATCTTTAATGGCCCAAGTTCTGGCTATGAAGTCTCTTGCCAGGTAGCGTATTTTTCTAAATAGATCTTTCGGCTGATTATTCTGACCATGTCTCTCAATTTCTTTGCATATACTTTGATAGTACTGTTTTTTGTCGGCCTTACATCTTCGTTTTATTCCTTATTGAGGTTTCTTAAGCTAGCTTTTTCCCTTTCACTATGTACACCACTTTTACAAAGATTTCTTCTATTCTCAATTATTTTAAGGATTATCGGATCCGCATATCGCCCCTGGATATGATCTGACTGTTTGAATGGACGATCTCCAGTGAATATTAGTGAGGACGTAATCTATTTGATTTCTAAATCTATCTCCAGGACTTTTCTAAGTATAAAGTCGACGTATATGGTGTTTAAATCGAGTATTCATGATAGAGTAGTTGTTTGTGATAGCAAATTCGATTAAACGGTCTCCTCTTTCGTTTCTCTGCCCTATGCCAAACTTCCCCAGTACATTCTTTAAGTCGTAATTTTGTGTAGTGTTGCCAACTTTTGCATTATAAAGCAGCAATTAGACCTATATTAACATACACGGAGAAGACAAGACCTGACACATCTAAAACGAGACGACTACTAGAAACAACAAAGATGAAAATACTTCGACGAATATTAGGGAAAAGTATGTTGGATAGGGAGAGAAGCGAAAACATAAGAAGAGCATGCAATATGTAAGACATACGTGGATGGGTGACAAAACGAAAACAGGAGTGAAACGAACACATCAGTAGAATGGCAGAGGATAGAATAGTACGAATAGTACGAGATAAGTCACCAAATGGACGAAGAAGTATTTGCAGATCAAGAAAAAAGAAAAAGACGGTGCGACAATTTAAACAATTTAGGAGGCTAATATTAAAGAAGAAACATGACTTTAACACCACAAGTAATTGAAATGACTAACTTCTTCAAATGGATGATCGTCAATTACTATTTCGGTTCTTACGAGGTCTTTATCTTCAACAGTCACTAAATTATTTTGTCAGTTATAATTAGTGTAAACTGTAAGTACTGAAGGTGCCGTTAATACCCAGTATTGTTGATATGGCTAATTTGTTATTCTATGCATTTACTATATAGAGGGCTAATTACGCGTGATATTCTGTACGGTAGTCTCCCCAAAAAAAGACTCAACCACTGCGCATAATCTTTTAATCCAGGTTTTCTTACCTATCCATCCTATACCTATCTACCTACCTATCTATATCTTATATACCTATCCACGATCAGGCAACTCCGTCCCCGTTCGGTCCAAGTATTGCTCGAGATGCTGCAAAAGCAGACATTTCAACACAGAATGCCCCGAAAAGTCAATAATTTGCCCGTTCTGC